GTGTGAGGCCATGACAGTGTGTGTGAGGGCCATGGACAGTGTGTGTGAGGGGCCATGGCAGTGTGTGAGGGGCCATGGACAGTGTGTGTGAGGGCCATGGACAGTGTGTGTGAGGGGGCATGGACAGTGTGTGTGAGGGGCCATGGCAGTGTGTGTGAGGGGGCATGGCAGTGTGTGAGAGGCCATGGCAGTGTGTGTGAGGGGCCATGGACAGTGTGTGTGAGGGGCCATGGCAGTGTGTGAGGGGCCATGGTCAGTGTGTGTGAGGGGCCATGGACAGTGTGTGTTAGGGGCCATGGCAGTGTGTGTGAGGGCCATGGACAGTGTGTGTGAGGGGCCATGGACAGTGTGTGTGAGGGGCCATGGACAGTGTGTGTGAGGCCATGACAGTGTGTGTGAGGGGTCATGGACAGTGTGTGTGAGGGGCCATGGACAGTGTGTGTGAGGGGCCATGGACAGTGTGAGAGGAGGGGCCATGGTCAGTGTGTGTGAGGGGCCATGGTCAGTGTGTGTGAGGGCCATGGACAGTGTGTGTGAGGGGCCATGGACAGTGTGTGTGAGGGGCCATGGACAGTGTGTGTGAGAGGCCATGACAGTGTGAGAGGAGGGGCCATGGTCAGTGTGTGTGAGGGGCCATGGTCAGTGTGTGTGAGGGGCCATGGTCAGTGTGTGTGAGGCCATGACAGTGTGTGTGAGGGGTCATGGACAGTGTGTGTGAGGGGCCATGGACAGTGTGTGAGGGGCCATGGACAGTGTGAGAGGAGGGGCCATGGTCAGTGTGTGTGAGGGGCCATGGTCAGTGTGTGTGAGGGGCCATGGACAGTGTGTGTGAGGGGCCATGGACAGTGTTTGTGAGGGGCCATGGACAGTGTGTGTGAGGGGCCATGGACAGTGTGTGTGAGGGGCCATGGACAGTGTGTGTGAGGGGGCATGGACAGTGTGTGTGAGGGGCCATGGCAGTGTGTGTGAGGGGGCATGGCAGTGTGTGAGGGGCCATGGCAGTGTGTGTGAGGGGCCATGACAGTGTGTGTGAGGGGGCATGGCAGTGTGTGTGGGGCCATGTTCAGTGTGTGAGGGGCCATGGACAGTGTGTGTGAGGGGCCATGTACATGTGAACAAGCCCACGTACACATATGTGAGGAGCTATAACTGACTGCACACTCTGCCCTTCCTCAGAGCCCCTTAGTCCTGTCACCTTCTCCCTTGGGTTCTAGCAATCTGGCTAATGTCCTTCTGCCTCCCCCGTAAAGCAAAGCTGTCCTAGTGTTTATGTGAGCACCCATGCAGAGCTCCCGGCCCCTTCTGAGAGCCCCCAGTGGGGTGGGGTAGGGCCCTGAAGTTGTAGCCCACACGAGAGTGAGGGAGCAGGTGGGCCCTGTTCCTGCCACCACCAGTGCGTGTCCTTGGGGACTGCCAGGGGGCAGGGCTGACAGGTGCCTGGACTGGGCCTGTCCCTCCATGGAACACTGGGCAGGTGGTGGCCCAGAGAGCTGTTGACAATGGCTCTTTGCAGTAGTTGAGGGGAGGGTTGGGGGGTCCCAGGCTCAGCAGGGGGCTCCATGGGAGGCAAGGTTCAGGCGGGGGGAGGCTTGTTAGTCCCATTAATCAAGGCCACAGCTGGGCAGGATGGAGGCCTCGAGGGACACAGTGGGGCTTCGGGAGGTGGGCGGGGTCAGACCTGTACCTGGTAGCAGGCATCCTGGCAGGGAGCGTCTGTGTGGGGGGTCCTGTGCTGGCACTGCTTGCCAGGGCCTCCAGCAGGTCACGGAAGCTTCTGGGTTGCAGGCACAGCCACAGCCCTCAAGGACCGCTGGAGAGCGAGCCTCAGGCGCCTCCCTGGACGGCTCCTAGCCCTGCTCTGCCCCGGGTCCGCGGGAGCTCTGCATGTCCCTGGTCTCGTCCACAGCCTCCTGCCGGGGGACCTGTGCACGCAGCACACCACACAGCCCGAAGCACAGCTGTGCTGCCTAGGTGTCCTGTCGGGGTGCTGCCAGCCCCACCTGAGCATTTGGTATTTTCATGGCACAAAGGCTAAGGGATGGCAATGCCCATGGGTCCAACTGTCTCCCGCCAGTTTCCCCAGAGGAGGTATCCTCCCCCTAGGCGCCCCACTCACATTGCCACCTGTTGCTGGCTCCACCTGGATGGAGCCAGGTCTGACCTCCATGCAAGTGGAGCGGCCCCTGCCCAGCCCATTCCTAGACCGAGTCCCACCATGGGGGGCCGTGGGGCCCCTGCCCAGCCCATTCCTATACCGAGTCCCACCATGGGGAGCTGTGTGGCCCCTGCCCAGCCCATTCCTAGACCGAGTCCCACCATGGGGGCTGTGGAGGCTCGCTCTCCAGTGGTCCTTGAGGGCTGTGGTTGTGCCTGCAGCAAGGGTGTGCTGGGATCGCAGCCAACAGCTCCCCATCTCCACCCCAACAGGGGCCTGGGAACACTGGCACAGGCAGAGGCATTGCCAGTCCAGCCTGGTCCCTAGGACCTCATGTGCCTAGCAGGCTGGCTTGCCTCGGGCAGCAGCTCCACAGGTCAGCCGGCCAGGACGGGGCGCCCACAGCACCCCAGGCTCCCTCTCCACATCGCCAGGCAAGGCGCCCAGATATGACCAGGCACCCAGCTCAGGCTGCCCCTGGCAGTGAAGGAAGCCATGGGCGCAGGGCCTGGGCAGGCACTCTGGGCTTGCGTGGGCGGCCGTGCGGTCGGTGAGCCGCGTGAAGAGGACCAAGGCACCCAGAGGTGAGGGAGCACAGATCCCAGGGCCGCGGAGATGGGTGATGGAGCCACTACGGCTCCGGAGTGCACCCAGCCTGTCCTCCTCATCCAGGTGCCCCGGCCACCTCCCTGCTGCAATGCCCCAGCACCACGTACTCCTCCCCAGCCCTTGCAAGGGGCCCTGGGGGTGCCACCCTCCACCCTCTAGCCCAGTGCTGTCACCTTTCACCTGGAATCAGCTTCTCCCTCAGGGCAGCGGCTGCCCCAGGCAGGGCTACACACCTGGGCGGGGCTGTCCAGGCTGCTGAGGGCTGGGCTGTGGCCTCCTGGGGACCCACTGGGTCCTTCCAGGAAGGTCCATTGCCCAAGGACTCTGAGCTAAAAATGCCCCGAGCCGAATCCTGCAGCTTCAGGGTCCTGGGCCAGGGCTGAGAGGCCCCGTGCTGTGGAGAGGGTGGGCAGGTGGGGGACCCAGGCGCCCCCTGCTGTGCCCCCTGCTGGCCCTGTTTGGACAAGCAGCCAAGGCAATCACCACAGTTGCTTGGAGCTGGTTCCTGCCCCTCATAAGGCAACCCCCCACTCCGGCAGCACCTACGGACACCCCACCCCTAACACCCAGGGACAGCAGTGGGGGAGAGGATGGGGGTGGGGATCCCTCACCCTGGGCTCACAAGACCCACCTGGCCAGCTCCACACATTATCACAGGGCCCTGGAGTCACTGGCCATGTGTTGGCAGTGAAAAGAACTGCCATGGTGGCATAGTGGGTAAAAATGCTGCTTGCGGTACCAGCATCCTGTAGGGGCCCTGGTTTGAGTGCCAGCTGCTCCATTTCTCATCCAGCTCCTGGGAAAACAGCGGAAGATGGCCCAGTGCTTGGAGACCCAGACGACCCCGTGGACTCAGCCCGGCCCAGGGCTGGCTGTCGCAGTGTGCGCGGTAGGAACCATCAGACAGAAGATCTTTCCCCATCCCCATCCCGCTTTCAAAACAGATAAAATCTTTTTAAAGAAGAAAAACACCAGTCCATTTGGGGGTGGTAAGGATACCGGGACCAGTTTGGAGGTATGAATGGCAGTCGGGGCCTTGCCACAGGTGGGAAGCAGGGCCTGGCAGTAGCCCTGCTGAGGTTGTGCGCTCACGCCTTCCCCAAAGTCTGGGCTGCTAGGCCCAGGGCTTCCAGGGGCATCACCCACTGCACCCTTCACCAGCGTGGCAGTTCTAGCATGAGGATAGACTACGTACGCCTGGGACAAGCCTGCGAGGAGATGGCAAGCGTTCCTTGGCGCCACAGCACGTGGCCTTCTAACTCCCCCACCTGCATGCGGAGTTTGGAATTCCCCAGAACAATGCATGGGGGGGAGGCAGCCTAGGGCCATTGCCCAGCCTGGGCATGTGAGCCAAGGGCAGCTGCAATCCCGAGCCTTCGTCCCCAGCAGCCCACACACTGCCCAGGTGGGCCACAGGCCTCTGCCCTCACAGCTTCCCTGGGGGGGCACCCTGAGGCCTACTGTCCGCAGCAGACCCCAGCCCAGGCTGAAGCTGCACAGGCTGGGGGTGGGGCTCACGAAGACCTCTGCAGGGTGGGGACGCTGAGTCTCTCGGGGTCACACGCTCCAGTCCCCTCCCAGTTCCCAGGGTTCTAACCGCCTTGCCTGAGCACACCTCAAGGAATGGGGTGCCTGTAACACTGGCAAGCAGTCTGGGGGATCCCCTGTCCCCTCCCACACACATGCCCTCGATTACAAGGAGCTCTGGGGACCTGCGGCACTTCAAAGCCGCCGCCAGCCGGGGGCCAAAGGTGGAGGCTGCTCTCTGTGCCTCGGTCCCTCTGGCTCTGGCCGCTCCCACTGACGCGTGCAGGCAGTGCTAAAGCTGCTGGCAGGCAGACAGGAGCCGCCCAGGCCTTCCCACAGCCTGCAATCGGGGCCTGAGGTGTGTCTTAACTGGGGTCACCCAGTTGGCAGCACACAGCCGACACCCCAGGCAGAGGACCGGCCACTGCCGAAACCAGCCAGGGTCCTACCCCCATACCCGATCTCACACCCCGCCCCCACCCCTACAGAAGCAGCAGCGGTGCCCAAGGACGTGCAGGGGGAAGGCCTGCCCTCTGAGTGCAGGGCAGCAGGGAGAGCGTGTGGCTTACTGAAACCGAGTCCAGCTTCCAGACGCGGGCAGGACCCAGTGGTTGGGATGGGAGGAGCTAGCGAGAGCACTCACCCCCAGCCTCAGCTGCTCCCAAACACGGCCACGCTGCGGCCAGGGCGGGAGCTCCAGGTCATGGGAGAGGGAGATGGATCATTTTATTGTGTTCAAATTCTCAAGATTCTCGGTACAAAAATAACTATTTCAGAGTAGCCAGTTCAAGTCACGGCGTTGTTCGAAAACGCACAGTCTTTGGGGTCCTTTCAAACTTGATTCCCCTGGGAAAAGTCTCCAAGCGCTGTAGCCTTGCCCTATCACGCGAGACAGCCAGGGCGGCGGCGGAGAAAGCTGCAGGCACCTGCGGGGCCGGGCTTGGTGCTGCTGGAGGCACGCGTCGTGGGCGAGGTCCCCGCTGGCTGGGTTGGTCTCTGGTGGCTGCGGGGACATGCAGGGCTGCGGCTGGAGGCACAGGCAGCGCGCTAACGCGGGCTTAGGCCAGACCCGAGCTCCCAAGGCGAGGCCGCCGGGTTGGTGCGTCCATGGGGGGCCTCGCTTGGGCTGGAGACAGGGGCGGGGCGCGATCAGAGGCGCGGTGACTCAGGCTGCACACCCAGCCCGCCGACTCATTCCTGCCACGCGGCCCCGAGCGCGATTTGCAATGCAAAGCACCCCCACCTCCACAGCCCCCCTCCCTGCTGCCGCTTCCTCCAGCACCCGGGTCTGCCCGGGGACTCGCGATCGCTCGGGACCTCCTTGGCCCCCACGGCCGCTCCCCTGCCCCGCTTCCCGCCCTCCGCCAGCGGCCGAGCCCGAAGAGGAAGTTTTGCAACCGCGGACAAACAAACGCGGGTCTTGCACAGGCTTGAAAGTTTGGGGGAAATGGAGAGGGCGCGAGAAAGCGCGCGCGCAGCTGCTGCCCGGCCTGCCCACCCCCTGGCAGGTCTCCTCCCCGCTGGTACCTCGGCGAGGCGGGCGGCGTTCAGTAACCCCCCAGCCATCTGGAGAAGTCGAGCAACTCGCGCTCCCCGGGGCTCAGCGCGCCCTCACAGCCGCTGCCGTCCGACGAGTAGGCGGAGCGCGGGGAACCGGGTTCGGAGCCGCCCGCACCGCCGGACGACGAGGTGGCGCAGGAGGGAGAGGCTGCGGCGATGGCGGCGGGTGGTCCTCCTTGGGGAGCCGGGGCGTGCGCGGCGGGATCCAGTAGCCCCTGGGCCAGCGCGACACGCAGGGCGTCGTGCTCGGCCAGCAGGCGCTGCAGCGCGCGGATATACTCCACGGCCGAGCGCAGCGTCTCCACCTTGCTCAGCTTCTTGCCGGCGCCGCCGAGCGGCACGTGCTGCCGCAGCGCCTGGAAGCCCAGGTTCACCAGTTTCACGCGGTTGCGCTCGCGTTCGTTCCGTCGCGCCACGGCCGCCTCGTCGCCCGGTCCCTCCGGCGCTCCGAGTCGCCGCCGCCGTCTGCAGCGCAGCATTTCAGGGGACGCGGGTCTGCGCCGGGCGGCGCGGACGTCGGGTGAGGGGCGCGCAGGCCGGGGCAGGGCGTTGCCGTCCATCCCGCCCGCATCCACTGGCCCCGGCCCCAGTCCTGGAGCGTCGGGGGGAACCAGAGTAGTGCTGGGGTGACACGCGAGTCCTGGAGAGGGGACAACTGTCCCCGCACCGCCCGGCGGGATGTCTTCTGGAGTCGCAGAGCTGGGGTGGATGGCGGCGAGGAAGACGTGCTGCGGAGCGTGGGGCGCTCGTGTCCCGCGCGTGCAGCCGAACGCTCCCAGATGTCCACCTGCGCGGGAAGCGCGACTTTTTATGTGTATCGATAACCCTCTTCCGTGCCGCCGCCGCCTGCTTACGCCCTCCGCCTTTGGCCTCACCCCCTCACCTCGCACGCGCGCGCCCCCCACCCTCTTTCCTAGGCGCAGTCCCCAGTTACTGCGCGCCCTACCCCCTACTCCCAGCAGGTGCCCAGGGCAGCTCTCTGCCCGCCGCCCCCCTCCCAAGGCGTAGGGCGCAGAACAACTTCCCGGGACTCCCGCCCCGCCCCGCCGCGCGCGCCTGGCGGGGGATGGGGAGGAAGGCGTGGCAGAGGCCACCGCGCGGTCCTCCGGGAGCCGGAGCCGAGGCGAGACCCCCGGGGCCAGCACGCGCCGCGCCGCCTGCACCTGCGCCCCGCCCTCCTGGCGCAGCGGAGGCGGGACGCAGATGCCAACCAATCCCGGTCCGCCCGTTCGGCCAATGGTGCCGGGCGCGGCCCCAAGTCCGACCCCACGAAGGAAGCGTGTACGCCTGGCGCGTGGCTCCCGGTAGCGTCGCTCACCCCGCTCGGCCCCGCCCTGCAGCGGGGAGTCCACACCCACCGCACACCTGTGCCCGGGCTGGGCTCCCACCTGTGCGCTCGCCCGCGGGATGGGGGGCCGGGTGGAGCTGGCGCTGGGCTTCGGGATCGGGCTCCCAGGATGCCTTCTCCACCCGGCCGTGCCTGGGCTTCCCTGCGGCATGCCCACCCCCACCCCGGCCCTGTGCTCCGAGTGGGGCGGTCAGTCGCAGAGTCCCAGTCTGGCCCATCTCCACCTCTGCTGGCGCACACGCGCACACGCCGCACCCTGCTAAGCTGGTTTCCCGCCAGCGGCTTCCAGCCTCCCTCCCACTCCTTCCCCAGGGACAGTGACACAGGGCCCGCAGGGCAGGGAGAGATCGCTGGGGCAGCAAGCTGGGGCCAGCATGGGCAGACCTCCCTGCCAGGGCAGGGGGTGGTGGAGAGGGTGTCCTTGTGGCCGGTGTGCAAGCGCCCAGGATACAGCCCTCCTGGGGAAGCTGCTTCCTGGCCATGTCCCTGAGCAGAGGCGCGGCCGTGTCCTAGAGGGGCTGCAGTCCAGCCGGTTTTACCCGAAGGTGACCAGGTGCTGCTGGGAACGGGTGGACCCAGCTGCCTGGAGCCATTCCCCATCTCGCTGGACCCAGGGTGCCTCCTCCAGGGGGCCTGCCGTATCCTCTAGGGAGCCCTCTGTCTCCCAGCCCCACAGAATCCTCCCCAGCTGGGCCGCTTGACACCCGAACCATGAGGAGGTTCCGCTAGGGACAGCACCTTTCTTGGGACGGGGTCAGTGGGCAAGTCCCTATGGCTGCCCACCGGAGTGTGTCCACGGCAGCCTTCTGCCCTGTGGAGTGACCCAAGGTGACTGAACCCAGGTTCTGGCACAAGGCTGGCCCCAGGACCTGTCTCTAGCCAAAGTCACACCCCCATTCTCTCATGGCTGCAGCTGGAACGGCACGCCCCTCCTCCCCTGCTGGGGTGCCAAGAGAACCCCAGAACCCAGGCCTGGAGAATCCGTGCCTGAACCACGCACTTGCCCACTCCCGACCCGCACCAGCCTCCTGGGGCTGGGACCTCAGCGCCTGCTGCATAACCTCCTACCCCATAACCCCTGGGTATTTTTGTGCTGAGAATGAAGGCTCCCACCTAACAGGGTGATGCTGGGGCTAGGCCTCACCTGGCCTCATCCTGTGTGCACTGCCAGGCTCTAGGACCTGCAGGGGCACCCTGGACCCCAAGCTGCCTTCAGTTCCTCTGCTCTTGTCTCCTCTGGCTCAGCTGGCAGAGAATACAGCGGCACCTGCCGTGTCCCAGAAGCACAGGGCCGTGTGGGTCTCCACGTGCTGTCTGGGTTCCCTCCTTGTAGGGGCTGCTCGTGCCTGAGAACCTCAGTGTGCTGTGTGCGTGACCCTGGCAACACCGCAGCACCCACCTACGGGGGCGGGGGGCGGGAACCAGATAACATCCAGCCCACGCGCGGAGGGACATTTGGCCAGTGGAGGAAGTGAGCTTGGGTGACCGACAGGTGCGAGGCCCCGCTGCTGAGATGCCCACGTATCCTGAGTCTAAGTGCCTGGATTCGAGTACCCCTCGGTCCCAGCCTCCTGTGGTGCCCCGGTCCTTGGCCCCTGCCACCTGCATGTGGGAACCAGGTGGAACTCCAGCTCCCAGCTTCAGGCTGACCCAGCCCTCGCTGCTGTGGCCATGTGGGCAGTGAGCTGGAGGAGCAAGCTCTCTGCTTCTCTGCTGTGCAAATAAAACAAGGTTTTTCACTTATTGATTTGAAAGGCTGAGTAATGGAGACCTTCCGTCTTCTGTCCCACTCCCCCAATGGCCACAGTGGCTGGGGCTACACTCAACTAAAACCAGGAGCCAGCACTCCCACCTGAATCCCCCAGCACTTGGACCATCCTGCTCTGTCAAGTGCACTGGCAGGTAGCTGGATGGGAAGTGGAGCAGCTGGGGCTTGAACCGGCACCCATATGGGCTTCTGGTGTGGCAGGCAGTGGCAGCCACATCCCAGTAGCAGCCCCTCACTGTTTTTTTTTTTTTTTCACAATCTGTGCTTTGCACGGGTTTTCTGAAGGCTCCCACACAGGCGTGGGGGTCCTAGTGTTCAGAGGGGCACTCCTGTCTCCCCCAGACATGGCTGCGGCTCTTGGCCATGACTCGTGCCCAGGGATCCTGACAGTGAGGACCCCGGGGGTCTTCCTGCCTCTATCCTCTGGTGGTGGTCAGCATGGATTCTGCAGGAAAGGTGGTCTCTTCTCCCCGGCAGGGAGCTTTAGTGTGGACACCTGGGCCTGCGCTGTGGGCTGCTGTGTGTTGCCAGCCACGATGGTCCTGGGCCGGCCAGCAGCAGCCCTGATGCCAGCTCAGCTGTTGTTTCAGCAGGATGGGAGTCAGACGTCTCACCGTCAGAGAATGGCACGACAGGTGTGGAATGGGCAAGGATGTTCCCTTTGGGTTTGGGCCAGAACCACCATAAACTCACCATAAAACATTGTAAGCAGAAGGCAGAGCTTCCTGTGGGCTGTGTGTGCATGCGTGTTGCTGTCCCGCTGCGATGGACTTGGTGCATGGAGCCGATAATAACATGTGTGGACGTGACTGATGGTCAAAGTCGAAGTTTATTAGTAGCATCAGACTTTATACACTGAGGCTCATATGGGATAAGGGAGGAAGTATTGAGTTCATCAACAGAACCCAGTAACAGTTGCTATGCTTTTGTCTGGAACTCCTTTTGTCTTGCATATTCCACCAAGTGTTCTCACACACATGCTGTCCACTCAACCGTTCTTATATAAATGATCTCCAATCAGGCATACAAAAGGTGGCCATTGTTTAGTATTAGCAGTTTTAAATTGATAAAAGCTTTTCAGGGAGATTCTTAACCCACAATTTAAACTTTGCAGTTTATAGTGATTAAGCATGGTTTTTTATAGAACTTTGCATTTAAGAATGGAGCAATAGCAACGTTTTAGGCAGGTGAGCAGGGAAATCCCCAACAACTTAGTGAGTGAGGAAGAATTTAACTCTACATCCTAACCTAGTAAAGTCCAGAAAAAGCAAATAGAGAGCCCGACCAGTAAGTACAGGCTGAGTGATTATAGGTTAATTGGCCTTTGTTCTGACTGTTCCAAATGTTCTATATCCACGTCTCTCTCTGTCTATCTGAAAGCCAAATAGGAGTCCTGATCAGTTAGGTACAAGTTGAGTGATTATCAGTTAGCTGACCTTTATTAGTCTCTATCTAAAATAATTTTGGGCCTCACAAGCCCCAAAGAGAGGGCTGGGAGCCAAGGCTGGAGCTAGGTAAGAACTAGAGCAAGCTTCTCCTCTGAGTCCAGTCGTCTCTGAGTGCCACCCGGGGCTCCTGGCTAAAGTTCCGATGTCACCAGACCCTATCACGAGGGAACTGGGCTGCTTCAATCCCGTGTGGGAAATCCAATAGGAAAGGACTGACCTCAGAGTTCTCGGCCTCCAAGGGCACTCACCTTCCTTGTAATCCCCTTGGCAGTCGGGATATGGTCCTCCTTGATGAGGCAGGCATCCACTGCTTCTGTAGTGAAAGCACATGGGAGACCTCTGGGGGTCTCTGGGACTAGAGAGCTCCTCTTATCCTCCTGCTCCGCCTTGAGATCCCTTCCTGCTCTGTACACACAACCTCCTGTAAGAGAGTGTCAGAGTCGTCCTTGGATCCCACCACAAATTAATATGGCTTTTCCTATGTCTAAGGCAGTTAAGAATTTGTTATCTATGAATAATAAGTTACACTTAAAGTCTTCCTCAAACATCCTAAGAAGGTGAAAAATTTCTCTGCAGTCCTGACATGTAGTGGAACAAGAGGAATATTAATTTTCAGTTTTTAGATGCAGTTCCACTGGGGTTCCATCTTCTCCAGGGACAGCGCTGTGTTGAAGGGAGTTGCTGCAAGGCCAAGGTCAGATGAGCCATAGGGAAACCACAGTTTAGAGGACCCATCAGGAAATTCCAGGGACAAGAGCATAACCTTTCCCATAGATTATTAGTGTTCCACAGTATCAATCATTCAGTTGTATTATCAAGTACATCATGTCAGGGACAGTTGTGCTTGATGCACCAATCTCTTAGAACCCCACATGTCACCTGATGTTGGGAGGGGTCTGTCCTCTCCTCCAATATTTCCTTGATGGTGATGGATCTTTCAGGAAGAGGTCGTGAAGCTGTCTTACTGCAGGCACTTCCTCCAGTGAATGGGGTCCAGGACTTTACATTAGGAGTAGGCATCCACACAGGCTGCAGCTCAGTTCCTGGGAAAATAAGCATATCCGCTTCCCACAGTTAGCAACGGGTCAGGACCTCTATACTTGTGAGTGGCTGGGTCCCTCCATTGAACTGAGAGAGGAGTTAGAGTGGGTGGTAGGCAGTTAGGGCATTCTGGGTCCCCGAGTAAAAGAGAATTTCCCCACCATGTCTTGGATTCACCAGGGCAAGTCTCTTCCAAGGGACAGGGGTGCTATTAGCATATCA